TCATTCGGCACTTTTTTTCTTCTAAATGGGGAGTTTTATCCAATATTATTATTGATTAATAATTACTCCATTATCATAACTCTGTTACCTAACATAGAGTTTTCACCACAAAACCCCGCTGCACTTCAAATTGCCACCTTTAATACTTCAGATACAAGTGGAGAACAATCCACAGGAACTATAGTGAACGGAAACGTTTGGAAGGAATCAAAACATGCAAAATAAGAGGAGTTTTGATGGATCCAAGTGTTTATGAAGAGTAGGCGTTACACATGTCCCTGCCCCATCTGAAGCGATATGGTTTTACAACCTTATCGACTGACCCGCTCCCCTTACTAAACACTCTATGCTCGAATTCCAGACTGCTCACCCCATTATGTGCTACTTCAATATTGAAGATGTGACTGTGAGCAATAAATTGTGCTCCAGACGTCATCCAGTAATTCATACTACATCGCTGTGTGTTAAATCGAATAAACTTATCTAATATGGAATTACATTCTACCACAGTGCCCATGTTCTAGACCGTAAACATCTGTTGTCCAAGAAAATTACTTTTTTAACATCTTCAACTTTCAACACCCACGTGTAACAGCTATAAAGAAGAAAAGAGCGAATTGCTGAATAGTACAAAAATTCTTTGATCGATAGCCGAATAACACGCATACGGAGGTGGCGAGGACTCTCTTTTTTATCCATATTGAGATATAGTCGTCAACCAGCCATTTAGGGCTGATGCAACTTCTCAAATAAGTAAAGTAGTCATTGCACTGAACCAAGTCACTGCCTATCTGTACACTAGTTGGCGGGAACTAGTCGTGAGGCATTAACTTGTATTTGACAGAGATGAATATCATACAAAACATACAAATATTTCTGATTTAGGCATTCAGAAAACTGAATATTGTGAACGTCTTCATCTAGAAACGACAAGACGGTTTCCTGGTAGCAAGTCGATCTCTACAAATGATAAGTTTTACATCCGTTAGTGCATTTACGATTAAATTTAAACAAACATGAGGTCAGAGACGGACACTACTTGTTGTCACCATTTCAGATGATAATTCTAATAGAGCTTATACTAGATTACGTGAGTCCGAGTAGATTGAGTGCCTAAATTAGTTCGATATATTCTCTTTACGACTAGACGTCGCCAAAACGCTTATCGACCGACGGTATCAAATGGCGCCTTTGGGTGAAGAAATCTGCCAACCGTTGGGTACCAGTAGCCATACTTATGTTCTAGAACCTGACAGATGGTGAAGATAAGATTAATGAACCTTCATCGACTGTGTTACGTAGGCAACACCTTATAAAACTTCTGGGTTTATAGTTATTTACATATTGTATTAAATTTATGTGGATTTTTAACTGGCACCAGATTTCGCACTAATTTCATTTCCTGTAAGATTTTATCATACTTTGAGCTGACACAATAGATATTTTTGATTGGACACTAGTCATTAACTATTGTAATGTGTATGTGTCTAGTCCTATCTACCAGTCACGTTTGCAATGTCGCCAACTAGTGGCCCACTAGGTGGCGCGGGAACACGGTGAACTTCGGATTGTTGACATTAGATGGTTGAAAGCAATCGACAGGAGGCCTTGAATCTAGGTTTCGTGCTAGTTGGCACTCATTAGCAAGGCGTATCTGCAACCTCGAAGGAACTGATATCCCCTCTGAGACTCGAACCCCACGTCACACAGTGCTGCAGTCAGAGATGTTACCACTGAGCTATTCAGGCTCGCGATCGACCTCCTGTAGGACTGTATTGAATATTTTTGATTGGACACAATATGCATGATTTCATGCATAGCCATTAACCCTTAGATGCAAAACGATTACGAATTATGATTTCATAGTTTTAATGTAATAATCGTAGCTTTTTTCTCAAATCTGATGGATACTTGTGCAGAATTTCTGACTAATATAAAAAGGAGACAAGTAGTGTGTTAGCACTACTTATGTAAGACTACTTTAATGATAATAGCTGAATATGGATAATTATGCAGCAGAAAAAACCCCCGTGTGGCTTTATCAGTTCATCAGAAACGTAGGAGAAAAAGAAAATAAAACAGATTAAACAAGTTCTAAGGTGTTTATGCAGCGCACAAGTTATCATACGCTAACGACAACTCAAATTGAAACAGTAGCATGTGCATCTTTAACATACATTCGAAAAACCCAATAATACACTTAAAGGCAGGAAAATTTCTGTACCCCATGGGATGTAAATCACTACAATCAGGTGACACAGGTTATAATTGTGAAACAAAATAAACTTCGATAACTAGATAAAAACCGATTGTATACAGATAGATAGATAGAGAGAAGGAGAAACGGATCACGATACCGAAACTGTCATACATGCACCAAGTGATATATATATATATATATCTTAAAAGAGGAGAGAAATATATGAAAGTGTAATCGAATTGTTTAAAGATTAAACTGAAAAAGAAGCTTTTGCATCTCGTGCTTATTTTTGCATTCAGATTTTTAATAGCAGTTGTTTTTATATAATTTTCATTATTACTGTCTTAAGAGTAGAAGTGCACTTCCAATGCAAACACCAGGTTGGATTTGAGTCCGCAAAAGGTTTTTGATTTTTAAGTAACCAATTCCACAAGAGTGAAATACTTACTGCAACTCCTTATATGTGCTTTATTTAGGTGGCAAGGGGACATTCAATCACACAAATTTGTCATTTTTAATACGCTAGCTGACTATCTAGTTCTAACGAGCAATTTTCAAGACAATTCATTACTGATTTAATTGACAATCTTGAAGAGGCGGCTGACTATTCACTCGATGAACTCAACTAGCATGACTCCCAGTGACTTGACACCACAATGACTATAGAGCAGTGTCTGTTATCATTTCTGATTAGGAATAAATTTACCCAGGAGATTCAGTCGAGAAATTGTTTCTGATAGCGAATATATTTGAGCAGCAGAAACGTTCAACTATAGTATATTGATCTGCTAGTCGGTCAAGACTTCAAAACAAATTAATGTAGCATACTTCGAGGAAATGGCTCTCCAGTGTAAGGCACTAATATATATATATATATATATATATAACCGTCTTCCTAAACCCAATGTATTGCTCGCCAATACTATCAATCTGATGCATATTACTTCTTAAGCTCACAGAGATAACCGAAAGTGCATAAAACCATTTAAAAATATAGCTTAATTGTCCTTATATGCTTGCTTTTTGTTTCTTTGCCTTTATATATACGACTGCAATTCAAAGGCGATATACCAAGCGAAATAATTACGAAGAAATTTAGAAAATCAGTTCGAAGAACTTTTAATGCTGGTGAACTACACGTTTTATTCTCTACACGACCGATGGCGATTCGTAGACTGAAAGATGAAGTACCTAGACTAGCCACCTCCAACTGCGCTTGTGGTGGAGCGAGTTTTATTGACCGTTGCTTTAGGAACTTGAATTTTCGTGCTTGCTCGAGAACATCTCCCAGTAAAGGTGTAGTAAAAACCATCAAGGGTTCGATATTAGACCATCTGGTCCAAACCGGCCGGCCACAAAGCCAGCCACCATTGAAGAATCCTTCTCTATCATCATCTACCGGGTGCCAAATAAATTGCCAAAAGCATCCAGGTACCACATACTCCAAACTGCAGAGGTTATCACGATTCGTGTGAAACTACCACTACTTTGTGTGCCAAAGAAGCAAGTCCAGCTAGCCACTACTACTGCCCTGGCGATCCTCCAGTAGAGACTATAAATTCATGAATTTGTATTATCTTTCCTAATTTTTTTTGACATTCAGTTTATTGTCGATGCTATTGAACTGTAATCTACTGACATTATTATTGATTCGATGTTATTTAAATAACAACATTAATGTTGTTCATAACACTAATTCACTCACTCTTATGTGCGTCGCTGGCAAAATGTTCAGAACTCTCGCCGACCATGAGCATGGTCCGCGGTTCAACTTCCTGCCAACGCACACCTGATATCAATGGTCGGCCTGCAAAATTTGGGCTACCAATATCACATGCTGAAAATTCCATACTTCTACCAAAAAAAGTACTGTGTGGAATCAAACTGTAATCAAAAATAAAAAATATAACTGTAGAACCTGATGATGAAGTTATCGAAAAGAGTATTCTTTGTTCATTAAAACCATTCTTTCGTTTGTTTGTTGACAAACCGAAAACAATGCTGCTGACAGTGAGTGATTAAAGCAGACACATCTCTACTTGATACAACTTTTTCCCCACCTCAGACAAACTTCGAAATCTCACTGTGTACTACAAACCGTTTAAACTAACAAAAAAAAATAAAATAATTAAGCCAAAGACAAACAGTAGTGCGACATAAAAGCACAGAAGAAAAAAACGTAAAAGAAAACTAAGCGCTTATTGTCAAAATTTTATTTTAACTTAGAGTAAAGAACAAAACACTGAACTGCCTAGGAAAGAAAAAGTGTGGTGAATACACACTCGCACTGCTGTTATTCTTGATTTCAAAACTACTTCAACAGGATAGAAAGACGATAAACATGAAAGCGCGAGAAAGGTTGGAAAAAAAGAAACAATAGTATAAAGAGGCTTTTAAACTTTATCATGTAATTAAATGTTGAGTAATATATGTGTATGTGGTTTCTGGCAAGTAAAAGGGGATAGAAAAACGGATAAGAAAAAGAAATGAAGGGAATAAAAACCAAGGTCGAATTTGAAGTTATCAGGCTACACACGACAGACGTCCCCAAGAAGAAGAAGAAGGAGAAGAGGAAGAAGAAGAATATGCATAAAAATAGAAAAATAAATTAAAAATATACACAGTGAATCTGTGTGAACGAACGTAGTATAATGGATACGATAAATACACCATTGAACAAACGAACGAGAACAGGAACAGCGGAACAAATTGTATATATTGTGTATATAATGTATATTTATATTTAACGGGTGGGGTAGGTCCTCTTACCACCACCAAACCAGTTGAATTGACTTATTTTTTATGAGATTGCAATGGTAACATTTTCGGGGACCATAGAACTCTGTAGAAACAAACATGATATACATGTGAGAGAAAAAAATTTAGTAGAAATAAAGATATGAAAAGAAAAAGAGGCAGTTGTCGAAGTTGTGACACACAATTTATTGATGAATGTGTCAAACAGAAACCTATAAAGTAAATAATCTGCAGCTACAACCAATAGTATGCAATCAGTATGTTGCTACGAAATTCACTCACTTAGATATGATGGAGAAGATTTGCAGCTCAAGTGGATGATTTCGGTGTAGTTGGGTTCACTGAGATGGATAGTTAATCTGCGAAGCTTTCATTACCCTACTAGGTAGCTTACTTACTTTACTTCGGCTATCTCCTACGGGAGGATGAGCCGGCTTCATGAACATCTCGAATCAAGAGAGTTCATGAAGTTTCATGGGAATTTGGTACGAGTGATGTCCCCAGAATCGCTCGGCCTTTTGTTGAGAGTGCAGCTCTAGCCTTTACACAACCAAGTGTGACCTACAAGGCAGTAGGAGTGGAGTAGGGAGTCCACTATTCATTCGCAGCCGGTGACCGGAGTTCGGTTCATACGCCTTTTTGAATGGGGCCAGACATACAGGACATCCAACAAGCCCTTTGTCCATACGTCTTCCGGTGAGCTCCAGTGAGCTTCATACGCCAGTTGTTGGAGGTTTGGAATCAGGGTTTAGCCATCTCCCCTAGACTGTCATCCAATGGACAGTCAGTCAACCCGGTGAAGAGCGCCGGGCATCCGCTTTCGCCCTCTCACTTTGGTGAAAAACACCTCCGCCACGTGAAGGCAGTGAGTAGGACTTCCTCAGGAGAGGCTATGTAGGTAGCACCTTAAATTCGAAGTGTACGCTGAAGATGTGTTGCCTAGTAGGGTAATGAAAGATTCGCAAATTAACTATCCAGTACAGTGAACACAACTACGTCGAAATTCACTCACTATTTCACAGCATTCTATCGTGACGTACCTGATAAGAGAGAATTTAGCTTAGATCAAACCCAGGGATGATTAATACACACACTAAACAAAGCAGTGGTATGATTTATGACTGAATATTATACAATACTGTAAACCAGAATCAATCACCAACAACGAGAAAGATTTAACAGAGGTTACTTCCTTCACTCATCTAAGAAGCATACTTTCAACTACAGGATTTCGGAACTGTTGAAGATGTCAAAGTGTCAGTCAGTCAGAATAGGGAAGGCAAGATATGCACTCCTTTATCAAACTGAAACCAGTCTGGAAATCTTCTGCACTTCACCTCAGCATCACAAGGAACAGGCTTCCGATTTTCAACACCATTGTCAAGTCGGTCCTTCTATACGGGTCACGAAAAGCATTTCCAACACGCCACTGCAGACTTTTACCAATAGCTGCCTTCATTCCATACTGAAGATCAAATGGCTGGTCAGAAATAATGAGCAACAAGAAACTCTGGCTGGCTGGCTGGGTGGGAGCAAACCAACCAAGAGCTGATTGCTCAACAAATACGTAGGAGAAAATGGAGATGGATCGGGCATGCGTTGGGGAGGCCATCGAATGACATTGCGCACAATGCAGGTCATCGTTCGAGTGAAACCCCAATGGGTGCGAGGGTGACATGGAGGAGATGAGAGATTATGGACAGTCGTGGGGTCACACAGCCGAAGAGGACAGCAGAGAATATAACAAAGTGGAGGTGTATAGTTGAAGTCGTATGTTCCACTCAGAACCCAAAGGAACAATAATAAAATAATGATTTATGACTAGATACTATGCAAGTCAATATGGGTGAGTAAGGCACAGTGAATAATGCATACTTGAAGCAAATATTTTTTGTGTTTAGAATTGGCTGGCGATGTCAAAAGTTTTCTGAATATGTCATCTAGCTACGATGTATCTCGCTAAGAGTTCAACCTAAGCGATGAATTGTATAAGCTCGCACTGGAATAGCAAAGCAGACTGCATTCAACTACTACATAACCATAAGAGTAAAGGTAGTTTAGATAAGGGTGAAATGCACCCAATAAAAGACGAAGTAACAGATTTGCAAAATAAAAAAGGGAAATCAAAGGTGGTATTTTATTAGCACATACTGATTTCAAAGTCATTCACAATATCATAACACCATAGAGATTGTTTACCACTCGTCGTACAAACTTTTTAGGGTGGGGGGGAAGGATATATTAGATTTCCTCATATAAGTAAGCATGAATTTGATATGTGCGTCGGTGGCATAGCGGTTAGTACGCTCGCCGATCATGCACAAGGTCCGGGGTTCGATTCCCGGCCAACGCAGTCCTTTACCTCGTTGAGTCAGAAATAATGCTGGTGAAGAGGAAAGGTAAGGCATGAGGCTAACAACCCCATCCTGTAAAAATCAAACACAGCTACAGCAACTTCAAACCACTAGCTTGAAGCCCTATGTTCCACTGGGGAACGTGAAGGAAAAAAAATATGATATAGAAAAGTCGAAAAAAAGTAGACTCAGAAAGAAATCGCCTTAGTTATACCTGTAAATCTGATTCAGTTTCTATTAATCCAGTAATCTGAAGCAGCTGGTATTGAGGCTGAACTAACTGTGTTATATCCACACGCATACTGCCTAAAACATCCATCCAATGATACGGTCCAAAGGAGAGACGAGATATATCTGCATTGGGACTAGATACAGAATAATCTGCTGCTTTAATAATTTGACGCATAGCATCAGGCGGTACATCGGGATCTAGAACAATGAGAGCTAAGGGTTTTTCATTGTCATCCACCTAGGAAATTACAAATAAACACATAAAGCATCAGTTATAAGTGTGAATACTTCAAAAATTCGACTGACGAGAAATGAGTGTTGTTGATATATACACATATAATGCATGTAGTGAATATTCATTTCATAAGGCTTTTGACTGCAAAGCCAACACTATAGTCATGATTATATCACCTTTTAAAAAAAATTCAGATCCACTTGACTTCATTCTCAATGACGCGTAATACTAAATGTTTTGAATTCGGAATTACTCTACTGTAGGGCTAAAATAAGCTACATACATTGGGCAGCTGTTAAGGAATTTACTGGGACAACTGGATAGACAATTTGCCATAGTTATCATTAATTTATGAAGAACATTAAATCAGTGAAATATATAACAAGGGAAAGACGCAACTACTTGGTTCTAAATCCTCAGGTATAAAAACGCTTGAATGCATAGATGTACTAGTGGAATTAATCCCAACTGCTGACTTCAGAGACTCAGGGAGTGCCTTGTTACCACCAGGGTGTAATCTCGTTGACTCCGGATATGCGGATGACACAATCCTCCTGGGTGAAGGTTGTGATAAAATGTGGAGTCTTCTGGACGCCCTTAGACAGCAAATCTGAGAATGTTTTGCATGCGATTTGCTCGTGCTATCAAATGTAAGATGATGTTACACGAATGACTGGACTAAACTGACTCCTAGCTTAGAAATAGGGAGTGAAGTGGTAGAGCACGTTGACCATTTCACTAATTTGGGAAGTTGCATCAGCCAGTATCAACAGGCTGATCGCTGACGAAATCTCAGCACAGATACAGAAGGCTGGTTCCTCATATGCCAGTTTGCGCCGTCTCTGGTTTAGTAGACGTGGTATCGGCTGGGTATCGACTAAAGGAGGTGTGTACTGCTCAGCAGCAGTTCGCTCTGTCCTTCTTTATGGCTGTGACACATGACCATTGAGAGTGGAAGACACGAAAAGCCTAGCTAGCTGTCTTCACTCATAGGTGTCTGAGTTCTATCTCCTGTGTTAGGTGGTAGGGGTTAGGTATCGGTCGAGTGCTAGGTAAGGAGGGAAAATCAGTCGACAAAGTTGTGAAGCTACACCGATTGAGATGGTTAAGACATGCGTTACGCATGCCTAGCCATCGCCTTCCTAGACGGGCAATGTTAGCTGGCATAGGATCAGGTCGGAAAAGAGCCAGTGACGGTCAAACTAAAAAATGGTTTCATCAGTCAGTGAAATCCATAACAGCTAGGCTAAGCCATTTAGAGTGATGAAGACTTCCTGGTTGGTATTTCCGGGACAGTAAAAACCAATGACTGAAGACAGTTGGTGATATGGTTGAAAATTGTTCTCAATGGCGCAAATGCATCCACTATTTTCGTGATCTTTCATATCCAACAAAATTCTATTGTTCTCCCATATTACTATTCTTTTTCGCTCACACTTCTGTTTATAATCTCTCTTTACCCTCTTCTCTTGCTTTTTGTGCTACATGGGGTGTGGCAACTCGAACAGATGCACTTCTGTTGAGAGTTCTATGCTGAAACCAGTCAGTCATGCAATAATTTGAATAAGTCAAGTAGGAACTTTGAAAATGTCCTCAACCGTGTGAAATACTGCCATAATAAACATCTTCAAACCTGTATACCTTTTTTTAGTGTCGCTAGACAAATTCTACAACGACAAACAACTAATTCTCTAACTAGCTGATTACATATTTTACAGTTGTAAAAAATGACCAATTACTCACAGTTATTCGATAATTTGTTCATTTGAGTTCATTATAAGGCATGTGTTATAAAGCCTAGATTTCTTTTTATTATAGGAATTATACGTTTTAAAAAAAAGCCTTCAAACAAATAAATGCTTACTTCAACACCAATTACTATGCGACTATGGCCTTCGTGTTGTAAAAGCATTGGTAATGTTGCAGGCTACGTTAAATATAAGTTAAAAAACATATAGTGAAGTCAACGACAATTGGAAAATTGCAAATACACAACAATGAAATATATATATACATATATATAATTATTACTGTTTCCTTTAGTTCCTAGGGGAACATAGGGCTAAAAGCCGAATGTCTCCGTTGCGTTCAGTTCTCCGCCAACGATTTCAACTGACTCCACTTCTGCCCACATGCTTCAACCTCTTCGCATCACCTCCTCCATCTCAAACTCGCCGCTTCCTATTCACGTTCCACTCGAGCGATGACCTGTCGTGTGATGTCACTCACTTTATGGTTGGTTTACTCAGAGTATGGCAAATCCACATCCATTTCCTCCTCCATATTTGTCGCACAATCGCTTCCTGCTGCTGGGTTGGTTCGTTCATTGCCACAGATCACACTCTGTCACTGGTCTTTTCTGGCCGGCCATCTGATCTTGAGAGTAGTATTGAGCAAACAGCTGTTGATGAAAAAATGTAGTTTGTTCGAAGTGGCCTTCGTGACACGGCGCCAAGTCTCTGATCCGTATGTTAAGTAGCACTGACTTCACATTGGAGTTGAAAATCCGGATCTAATTTTTCATGCTGAGTGCTGTTGATCTCCACACAGACTTGAGAGTAATGAAAGCTTGCCTTGCTTTCTCGACGTTCCTCGCTTTGATATCCTCATCAGTTTCGCCCGCCTGTAGTTGAAGCAATACTTACCAGGTAGGTAAAGAAGACTGCTTCTTTCAGCTTTCTCCCATTCACACTGATTGTTGTCCGTTGTTGGTGGTGTTGCTATTGGTCACGAATCCTCATCAACTACGTCTGTTTTGTCAATGTTCACCTGAAGTACTATCTTCTCTGGATGCTTGTTCTGCCAACTTGTTTCTTTTCATTTGCATATCTTCCAGTGTGTGGGAAATCAGACATATATCATCGGTGAATTCCAGATCGTCCAAGTTCTTTTTTTGTGTGGGTCCAGTTTATGCCTGTCTCCTCGTTGTCCGCTGTCTGTCGCAATATCCAATCTACCGCAATCAGGAAAATCATTGTATATACTAGCTGTGAACTCATTGACACCAGTTACAATTTTACTTTTCATTTCAGTACTTTTATGCCTAGTTTCGCTCAGGATGTATACAAGTGGTGAATACGGTTCAAAGGTAACCATAGAGTTTATTACGTATAAAAGTACGTAGTTTGAAAAATTTAAGGTGAAATAAGGCAAACTGATCAATAGTCATTGAAAAGGATTTGGGCGTAATTATCACCAATATACAGAATATATAAAAGGTGACCATATTAAAATTCAAGTGAGATAAAATTAAGAATCCGTGAAGTGTATATACGTTTACAATATATAGCTTGGTGGAGTAAGTGTTTGTATAATATCGGTTCTTGATTTACGCCTATTCTAATTTACGGAGGCGTTTCCCTAAGAACTTGATTTTTCATGCACAGGAACATCTACCTGTGTGTTGTAGTTAGAAGTATCAATAGTTCCATATTAGAACACCTGGTTCAAACTGGCCACAAAGCCAATATTGAAGAGTCCTTCTCCATCATCTATCGGGTACCAAACAAATTGCCAAAAAGATCCAGCTACCGCATATTGCAAACAGCACAGGCTATCGCGATTCACCTGAGATGACTCGTGTCCTGCGTGCAGAAGAAACCCGACCAACCACTATTATTGCCTTGGCCTACCGTGGAGTTTGCAAATTCATAAATACCTCGATACATTGGTCTTTTTGATACGGCCCTCCATCCTTTACATACATGTAAATTCCCCTAACCCTTGTCATTACACTTGCATTAAGTATCCTTTTAATTGGTTGATGGTGACTAGCAGTGGAATCCAGGATGCGCATTTCATCCTTTTTGGGACTCGTTAGTTGGACGTACCTGCATTCCACAGTGAGTGATGGTGTTCCCACCGAGGCTCGAATCCAGTGCCCATAGTTTCAAACGTCATAGAGTTATCCACTAGACCACTTGGACCACGAGAGCCACTTCTTATTGCTTTATCTAAATTCATAAAGAGACCATTTACTTAATTACATGTACATTTTATGTATTTCCACATATTGCCAGCTCCACAGATATTAATCCAGTGTGCATCAAACAAAGCAAAGGATACAATATACTAGTTACTAAGTAGTATCCAATACACTCCTACAAGATGTCAATCGCTAGTCAGAATAGTCCGACTGCAACACTGGGTGACACAGCTTCGAATCTCAGAAATGCCGTGAGTTCCTTCAAGAATGCAGATACGCCTTGTTGACTGCTGAGTGCCAACAAACACGTAACTTAGATCCAAGGCTTCCTTGAGATTGCCTCCAACAATCTAATTAGTATACACAAATCTCGGAAATCTAAAGTCAATAGTTCTCAATGCCGTTTCCCCACATTCACAACTACACTTTCTTTGAAAAAACAAAAACAAAACAAGAATAACGGTACACTTAAAAAGGTGTTATACGTTAATCTTAATTCAGGTTAAATGAACAAGATTTCGTGAAATTTCCTTTTTCTAGCATAAAAAAAGTCAACAAAAGAGAACTACTAATGGACAAACTACAATGATCAACGAAAAAAAGGAAGGCTGAAATATGCAGTTTACCTCATTTGACATTGCTCTACTGTTACCTGAGGTTACATAGGAGTAGATATGCGTTAATAGGCTGTGAGAAACGAGAAATGAAACAAAAAGAAAATGTGTGACAATTCGTCATGATGATAAGATTGTGCTGCAATCAAAATAAAAAAATAACAACAATATCTCTGTCAATAACAAAGATGAAAAAGTGGGCTGATGTATGATAATAAGAATAATTAAAAAGCATCATGATTAAACAAACACATATTCAAGTAGACAGAGTAGTCGATAAAGGCCAAGGAAAACAAATATATCGTCGAATTTAGTAATGCTAGATTGTAAGGGGAGTAAATAAACCATGTTTCAGTGAAGATGTAATACGATTAAGGGATGACAACAGAGGAGTTGAAAATATTAGTCGGGGTGATGGTGACGTTATCAGCCATATATATAAGGATAAGAATGCTTGCTTATTGATACCAATGAAATATCACATTGTACTCTATAAATATTACAGAACTGATTAATATGACACCGCAATGGCGAGCCATCTGGAATGTTGGCAAACTTGATTGATAGAATTCAGTCTGCATGAAAAAAAGTGTACTAAACGAATGACACTAGTGTCTAATCAAAACAAAACATTAATTATGAGAAGATAAGTACGTCTGAAGGTAAGTCTATCCATAGTCCTCCTTATTGAAGACAACATCAGAGGAGAGTAAAAGCGGAATGCCTAGAAAACACGTCAATTACTGTCTACCGACTTTGGCTAGCAGCCAGGTCTCACCATGTAACAACAGAAGACAAGGGCCAGGCAACAGATCGTTTATTAAAGAAAATCAACACATATTTATAGATTTTAATGTACATTATTGTAGATTGTTGTAAGTAGAAAACACAGTCTGTTGATTGGTTGTTTCTCACACAAAGTTAACCTTGCATCTCTTTGTGTCTGTGTCAGATCATCCATATGCTAACTGTATCCGCCTACGCAAAACCTTTGTTCTCATTTTCTCACCATCAATATTGGGGACATAAACATTGACGTCAATTACTGTCAACCAACTTTGGCTAGCAGCCAGCTCTCACCACACAGTGTGTAGTAATAGTCAAAAACACTAATAATGAACAGACAGATGTGAATGACGCTATTGCAAAGACAATCCTTGAATCTCTCATAACTCATAATCGACAGGTAGACAAGAGAAGTACAGATCACTGGTCTTCATACGACAAGAAGTCTTAATGAAAATAAACCGATAAATTGGAACTTTTAATGACTTTCATCCAATGGTATATACGAAATGAACCCACGCGGAATTCAGGATCTGCTAAACCTCTGATTCAGTTAGTCACTTCTGATTTCAAGATATATTACACCAGTAGACACAGGATCAATGAGATCTTTTTCAACCCCATACTGATCTTCAGTCTATTTCTGAAGGTAATGTGCACGACTTTTAGGTGCAAACGGTTACAATTTGGAAAGAGCACGCGGACTGGTGAAGGTAATACGCAAATGACTTGGAAGCATATGTACCTTGAACCGTCCAAAGCTGTTATACATCTTCCAAGTCAGAGATCGCAAGAAGTCTGGTATTAGCAAAACGTTTATTAAAACAGATGGTACGTTGTCCCACAACCATCAAAATGCCAGGAAAGTTGGATGAAACAATTTTTTTTGCTTAAATTGAACTGGTTTTCGACAATTCTCTATTTAGAAAAAAAATTATCTTTAAGGGTATATTAACATCGTTCTATCCAACAAATTTCAAGATGTATTATTAAAACTTATAATTAACAGCGATCCTACGCTCCAGAGAACCTAACATATCTCCCCTGAAGCACAAATAACAGAATCGGTGAGATTGGGGATTGGTCAGATTGACTGAAAAAAAGTGTATCAGTCTTTAAGCAGCATTCTTCCAACATTCAATGAAAGTATCAAGAAACAGATTTTCACAAGAAACCTACATTATGTATGTAGCCTATCTCGGCGTAGGGGACATGAACTACATAAAATACACCGTGTACACATAAGATCACCTGACACTAGGCTAGCATATAGGATGATATTGATATGCATCAGCAATTACTTTTAAAAAAAAAAAGATTAAGCTTAACAAGCGTTAATATCAAACAGAATTGACATCGATTAGATAACCAACAAAGAAACTATAAAATGCTGTGATATGATTGATCCAAAACAAGCCAATCAAGAACACGCCTGAATTACGGAAGTTTCCTTTAAAAGAAAAACAAATACTAAACTGTATTTTATGAAAATAATAAATATAGAAAATATGACACACTTTTGTCGGACGTGCCCGATTCCCAACTGCTTATAGCAGTAGTATAATGGATGCCAAGTGCTACTTCGCTTGTGCTTACATTTATTATTATTATTGTTGTTCCCTTAGGTTCCTAGTGGAACATAGGGCTTCAACTACACGTCTCCACTTGCTTCTGCTGTACTTTTCACCTGCATCCATGTTAGGCCATACTGTTTCAACTCCTCTTCACACGATCTCCTCCATGTCACCCTTGGACGTCCCACTCGTCGCTTCCCTTTCGGATTCCACTCGAGTGATGGCCTGACGCGCGATGTCACCCAGCGGCCTCCTCAGCGAGTGTCCAATCCACCTCCACTTTCTCCTGCATATTTGTTGGGCGATTGGTTTTTGTTTTGTTTGTTCCCATAGTTTCTTGTTGGTGATTCTTTCTGGCCATCTGATCTTGAGTATAGAAAGAAGACAGCTGTTGATAAAGGTCTGCAACAGGCTGTTGGAAATATTCTTTGTGACCCGCCAAGTTTCTGATCCGTATAGAAGAACTGAATTGACGTTTGTATTGAAAGTTCGAATTTTATTATTGATGCTAAGTGACGAACATGATTGCTGCTTATGGTAATCAAGCATATTGCAGTATGCATACACTTGAGCTTACAAAGGATTTCCCCCTCAAACTGTGTGATTTGCGGCAAATGATATCACTGAAGAAAAGCTTCTTCACGACTGGACTTCGATTAACTTTCTCTACGAAACCAATGGCTCGCATGAACGTGGAGATTAGGTTAAAACTTCTGATCTCGTCAATGTGTATCCATGATCTCACTTGCTCCTATGGAGTTATGTATATCGACCGTACTCAGCGTCTGCTATCCAAACATATCGTAGACAATTTACCCACATCGGCGAGGCCTCTATGATCAAGTACTTTATGCGTCAGAGGCACAGTGGTTAGGACTCTCGCCGACCATGCACATGGTCCGGGGTTCGATCCCCTGCCGACGCACACCCGATATCTATGGTCGGCCTGCAAAATTTGGGCTAACGATATCACATGCTGAAAATTCCATACTTCTACCGAAAATAATGTGTGGTTTCAAGCTATAGCAAAAATAAGAAATAATATTGTGACAAATGCTGAGAATTCCATTCTGTATTATGAGTACTGTTTTTGGAATAAAGTAGATTATTATTACTATTAACTTCCTCCTCAGCCGACAGCTACAAGGAAATGATCTTGTGACCAGATGCTTTCTAACTTTGGGAGGAAGACGAAGTGTCCCAGAATGTTTATCGCCTCAGCTGAACTAATAAGCTCTCGGGTTTCGGCATTAAAATACTTCATACAGACAAATCTTAACAAATTCTAACACCATCATAAATAAACATCCCTTCACTGCTTTCAGGCATATATCCCCTAGGCCCAAAAGTTGATCAGAACTAATTCCTTCTACTACAGAAATTAAACAAGACGTCAACTTCTAAAAACTACTGTTTCAAAACTTAATGTCTGATTTAGACAAGGCCTAATTTTCACATAACTTTCACAACTCACTCATTAGCGAAGCAACCTTCTTATCTCTTTAATTTCAGTTTAAAAAAATATACCTTATACATATTTGCAATCCTTTACTGGTGTGAAAAGAATTTACAGTTTTTTTTGTTTTTTACTGATAATCATTTCTGAACACTAGTCATATCAGTTAAAATTCTTACCTTATGTAGTAAAGCTATTAAATCAAGTTTCGCAATCTATTCATTTTTTCTGCTTCATATATAATATCACGTGCGTTTTTCTTAACTATTATTGCTATTATTGATTAACACTTATTGACACTTTTTATGACCTTCTAGAAATACAATTCGACTGCACTACTTCGACAAGAAGTTATGAAGCGGATGTGCTGATACTGTTGACCAATTATCAAATGGGTATTTCCCAAATTTTACGCTTTTTGTAAAAACTGAACTGATGTATAGATATGTGATGAGATTTTCGGCTATCTATTGTGGATATACATCACATTTTTCAGATAAATCCTGTCTTTTAGTAACAGTATCCAATTTTTTAAATGATTTCGATGGATGGTGATTAGCAGTGGAATCCCGGATACGCATGTCATCCTGTTCGATCATATCTTCACCGTTCGACAGATTCTGGAACGGAACATAGGTATACTTACCGACGTCCAACAATCGTTACATTTCTTAACCTGAAGTGGTGAAAGCTAGTGGTGTCCGTCAGGGATGCCCACTATCTCCATTTCTATTCGATTTCATCAGAGATGTACTAATGGACTTAACCCTAACTCACTTCAACGACTCAGGGATTGACTTGTTACCATCAGGGAATAGTCTCGTAGACTTAGAATATGCAGATGATATAGTCCTTTTAGGTGAAGACGCTGACAAAATGCAGAGTCATCTGAACATCTTCAGCTGCAATCTGCGAATGTTCAGCATGTACTTCGCTCCCTTTGGTAAATGTAATATGATGCTACAGGACTCAACTGGACAACATTGGGTTGACCATAGCTTAAAGATAGGGAGTGAAGTGGTTTGTGGAGTGCGTTGACCACTTCACTTATTTGGGAAGTTACATCAGCCAGCGTCAACGGGCTGATCGCTGACGAAATCTCAGCACAGATACAGAAGGCTGGTTTCGCATAGGCCAGTTTACGCCGTCTCTGGCTTAGTAGACGTGATATCCGGCTGCCTGTCGACCAAAGGACGTGTGTACTGCTCAGTAGCAGTTCGCTCTGTACTCGTTTATGGCTGGCTGTGAGTGACATATGGCCATTGAAAGTGAAAGACATGAAAAGGCTGGCTAGCTGTCTTTGATCACAAGTGCCTGTTTTCTGTCTCCCGTGTTAAGTGGTATAGTGGGGTAAGCAATAGTGAGGTTAGGCTGTGATCTAGTATACAAGCGCACGTGGTGGACTAACTCATTATTCTCTCTTTCTATTACTTGTTCTCATTCAGTTGGCAATGTCTAGTTGTCTTAATTTGCTTGATGAATACATACAACGACTACATTTAGCGCTTACGCACAATACTTCTCACACTTCAATACTACTATTACTACTGCTACTGACTGCTGGGTGTCTGAATTTTGCATTATGGGTAAATTTTATTTTGATAGAGTCTCACAGTGTTATACAGTAATATTTACTGATGACGTTTCGAGCACAATTTATTGCTCATAATCATATCAAGTTAATCACATGACTTCCTAAATTCATTTATATAGTCCCGTTGTTTTTCACTTGATTTGATTGGTAGTATTATTTTCCATATTTCGGGTATTAGTGATGATTCATTCCTATTGCACGTGTTGGGTGTAGATTCGATGAACAAAGATTCAGTAATCAACCTCTCTCTCCACCTACCCAGATTACTTTTTAGAATTTTAACCCTCTCCCACCCTATTGTGTGGTTGTGTGTCAATGCATGCATTGCAATTGCCGAGGTTTTTTCTAAATTACTTATCTTCTCTGGGTCAACCATTCTTACCTTAGCTAAATTCTTATGTTCTGACAATCTGACTACCCCTGACCTACTAGTTTGACCTATGTAGTTGACCTCACAGTCATTGCAGGGTATTTTGTAAATTATATTATTTTGTCTAATTGGATCCACTGGGTCCTTTAACCTACAGAGCTTGTCTCTGAGTGAGTTTGTAGGTTTAAATGCCACTCTAATTCCTGCCTTATTCAGAATCCTACGTAGGGTCTCAGATGTCCCCTCCTTATATGGTATAACAGTGGATGACTTATATTCTCTCTTATTTATGTTATCATTACTAGTTCCATAATTATTTTTATTTTGTTTTTGGCCTTTAGTTATCTTCCTAATGAATTTTAAAGGATAATTATTCAACACCAACGCTTCTTCTATTTGTTTTATCTCGTCGTTTAGGTCTTTTTTTGTGCTACTTAGTGCTATGGCTCGGTTTGTTAGACACTTAACTAAGCCTGCCTTAACAGTTAACGGATGCGACGAATTAAAATCTAAATATCTATTAGAATGCGTTGGTTTTCTATACACACTCGTGTGAAGTTTACCTTCTTACCTTCTAAGAAGAAGGTAAACTTCACACGGTGGGTGACATAGGCCAAAGAGATGGAAAAGCATCGACGATAGGCAACTCTTTAGACTCATCAGGGAAACGGGTGGGAGAAGGCAAATCATAAGTGAGACTATTTCTGAGAAAAATGGCTCCTTATTTACCTCTCAGGATAGACGCCTTGAACGCTGAAAAGAACACTTCGAGGAACAATTTAACTTGCCTACAGCCACACTTAACCTCCCCGCCATCCAGCACACACCCAAATGGGATACAGACACTGGTCCGCCGTCTGGAAGTGAGGTCACAAAAGCCATCTGTAATTTGAAACGAGGCAGGACCCAACGGAATTATTTCACAGATGTTTAAATATGGGGGTGACATACTAGTAGGTAGATTAACTAAGGTACTAGGTAACGTCTGGGAATCAGAGTCAGTTCCATCAGACTGGAGTAAGTCACTTATTATACCGATATTCAAGAAGGGAGACAAGTCCTCATGTGATAATCATAGAGGGATCAGCCTAACGAACATAGTCTCTAAAATCCTAGGCTCAGTAATCATGCACAGACTAAGCAGAACTCGGGAGGAACAAACGAGGGAAAATCAAGCAGACTATAGGCCAGGTAGATGGTGCATAGATCATATCTTCACTCTCTGACAGATCCTAGAACATAGACACACTTTTCGGCGTCCAACAATTGCCATATTTCTTGACTTGAAGGCGGCCTTCGACTCCGTGGATCGAGAGGTACTATGGCAATGTGTGACTGTGAAGGGAGTGCCAAGAAAGTACTTTGCACTAATTAAGGCACTCTACACAAACTCACGTAGCCATGTAAGGGCTTATGGGGAGTTGTCATCTGAATTGATAACAACCAGTCGTGTCCGTCAGGGATGTCCACTTTCTGTTTAACTTCATCATAGATATGCTGATGGAAGTATCCTTAACTGAACTTAACGACTTAGGAATCGACTTGTTACCAGGGAATAGTCGTATGGAATTAGAATATGCAAATGACATAGTCCTGTTGGAGGAGGATGCTGACAAAATGCAGTCTTCTGAACACCTTGAGCAGCAATCTTCGTATGTTTGGCATGCGATTCGCCCCTGTAAAATGTAAGATGCTGCTACAGGAATGACTGGACTACGTCAACTCCTAGTTTAGTGATAGGGTGTGAAGTCATAGAACATGTTGACCACTTCACCTATTTGGGAAGTTGTATCAGCACCAACGGATTGATTGGTGACGAAATCTCAGCACGGATCCAAAAAGCTCGGGCCGCTTTCGCTAACTTACACCATCTCTGGCGTAGGCGTGACATCCGGCTATCAACCAAGGGACGTGTGTACTGCTCAGCAGTTCGCTCCGTCCTTCTCTATGGCTCTGAAACATGGCCAATACGAGTTGAAGACATGAAAAGTTGACGGTTTTTGATCATACATGTCTACGATCTCTTTCTCACGTTAGGAGGTATAACAAGGTAATTAATGTTGACGTTAGGCGTAGAGTGTTGGGCAAAGAGGGAAAATCAATCGACGAGGCTATAAAGTTACATAGATTGAGATGGCTAGGTCACGTGCTGCGCATGCTTAACCATCGCCCCCCCCCCCCCCCGAGAGGCTTTATTAGCTGATATAGGTGCATGTTGGAAAAGAGTAAGTGATGGCCAAACAAAAACATGGCATCAATCCATAAAATCCTTGACAGTTAAACCCAGTAAGGTAGGGAGATGCAGACTTCCGGGTTGGGGCCCTCGGGACTCTAAGAATCAATAGGTGACATGGCTCAAAATCGTTGTCAATGGCGCAGATGTATTCAGTCTCTGTAATCTTTCATATTCCTTTCTACCATTACTCATTCTCTTTCACTCTTATACTTGTCAAAACTCTATTGATTCTCTTCACTCATCTTCTTGTCTACCTTTGTGTGCTATTTGGAACGTGGCAATTGGAACTGTTGCACTTCAGTGCCAAGTTCTATGTTGAATCCAGACAGACAGACAGACTTGTAAGTGTTGGAAATACTCCACCTAAAACTGTCATCTGACGAAATTAAGAGATAGTCCAAAGGTCTGCTTCCACCGTGATCTCATGAAATATACTTTTTTGTTGATTTTGTAAATGACTGTGAATGATGAATCAGTTGACGACATGTTCAATTATGGTGCTTTTTATTGAACCAGTGCTTCCTCTTTGCAACCATGCTGCGTAATGTTCTATAACATGTTTTGATAGGACTCGCATAGAATGACCTATGTGTACCAAATTCCGCACAGACAGGTGAAGTGATATCAAAAACAAGTTAGAGAACATTACCCAACATGGTTGCAAAGAGGTGGCGTTGGTTTAAATATGCCTTTATGATGCAGGCATAAGAATGAAATGAATGCTGAAATCCCTTACAGCATAGCTCACCATAAACAGAATTCAGATATGAAGTAGAGAAAGACAACACCTTATAACTGCTTGATGTTCTGTCAACAAGAAGGCCAGATAAACATACATTCAGAGGACTCGTTGGTCTATGAAAGTAAGGGGGTGCTTCAGAGCATATTCTTAAGTGACTTCAAAAATAGATTCAGTCTCTAGCACCTTCTAATGGTGAGAATAGACGGCTATTTTGCTCAATCGTGAAGCAAATTGTTGAAACAAAACAGCTTTAAACTGTCAAGAGCTATTAATGTTAGTTACAATTTTACCTGAAAATAGAAACACACTTACTATGGATGAGTTCCACCAGGTCCTGAAGGAGAACGACATTCTATAATTGATGAACGTACACCTATTGATCCAAAGAGAGAAACCATATCGGTAGCACCTAAGCATGCAGTACTATCCACCAATCCAACAAGATTACGATCATCTGTAGAAATGCTGCCAACAGTAGAATCTAAAAGACGACAACCAGATGTAATTCTATTCAAATTTAGTGTTGAAGATATCTGAGACGCGCCAAGTGGATCGAAGCCAAGAGACCAAGCAGATTCTAAAAGTGCCTGTAATTTCCATACGGATGGCATAGCTGAAAGGGCTGCAAACAAATAATAAACAATGTGATATACACTATCAAGTTGGCAATAAATAACACGAAAATAAGGATAAAATCCACCAACTCAAAAAATCCAAACATGCGACTCAATAATGTTATGCAGAATTCTTGTCTATAGTGGTTGTTGGGTGATTAGTAACTCACGGAGCCTAACTGCTCATTTTACATTTCATAAAATTACCAGTTTTATTTCCCCTTCTCCGCTTTCCTCACTGAAGAAAACTCCAAACAAGCAGAATATTGGATACAAGTTGGTTTCGCGAAGTTTCATTTGGATCGTTTTTCATCCCCTCCTTTATTGATTTCTACGTTGTACATTCCTCTTGTATATGACTATGAATCAGTAGGCAAATTCAAAGACTTTGGATTTCTCCAACACTGAGAAGCCTTGGCCATAAAAAGACTTAAACCTGCCTTATGTGTCCAAAAGTTATTTGTTATCACCTTAAACCTGCCTTGGTAATCGAATTTAGAACCAAGGACCAATTTACTTCATAATGTTTTCAACCCCTACCTTGCTTTGTTTTTTCTCTTTCTTACCCACACCTTTACGTCTCCCTATCCATTATTTGCGACCTTGACCTGTACACAATCTGACCTGTATTGTGCGTCGGTGGCACAGTGGTTAGGACTCTCGCCGACCATGCACATGGTCCGGGGTTCGATCTCCGGCCGACGCACTCCTTTACCTCGCTAAGCCAGAAATAATGCTGGTGAAGAGGAAAGGTTGGGCATGAGGCTAGCAACCCCATCCTGTAAAATAAGCACTGCTACAGAAACTTCAAGCCACTTGCTTGAAGCCCTATGTTCCACTGGGGAACGTGAAGGAAATAAAAAAAAAAACTGAAAATACGGTGTGGCATCAAGCTGTAATCAAATTAAAAATTATGTCCTGGTTCTATGAAGTTGAATCTTGACTAGCTCTCTAAGTAGTAGTATACATCGAAATCTTTGTAATTGAGGTGGTTGAACTTTAAAATATTTGAAGGGTAATCATCAACAAAGGATGTCTGTTTCTCTCGTATGTTGTTGCTGCCAAATTCTTGATTTGTCGTTATATGAACTGTTGTCTCTCCTCTGAAATTCTTCTGACTTCTTACCATGTTTTAGAGTCTATCATTCATTCAGATAATATTGACGATAATTATTAGCTACAGACACACACACACACACGCGACAGAATGTAAATATACGGAAAGACTACTCTAACAGGTTCAATCACAACGTTACGCTAATAAACAGTGGCTTATTGAAGGCTTTTTTTCAGGTCTGATAATTCATCATTTCGATGAAAAACCAGAACAATCAATTGTTCAAGTGCCTTACACAAAAAACCAAACCTTCTCATACAGACTACGATCCAGGAGCTATTAAAACAATACTGGCTTGAAGCCACCAAAAGATTAAGAAAGAGATAAAAGATTTCGAAGGACTTCTACAGCGCTAGGCGGAACATTTCACAAAATAACCTACTTGACCAGAAACTTCAGAGCTCTACATTATTTAACTGAAAATGAGTGAAGCTTGATGAATCTGTTGGAGTGTGTTCAGAAAAGTCGCTAGTGTAAAAACAATGAATTATTTTACACAAAGTAACTTGTTTATTTCCAATGATAGAAAATGAGACGGTTATGCAACTCCATACCGAGAATTATTTTAGAAGTGTATAAGAAGTGACGGCTACTGGACTTACAATTTTGTCACAATACAGGCATCCAGAGGTGTTTAAGTAAGGTGGAGACAGTTTACTGTCTGTGTAAACTAAGGTATTAGGCGGCATCTGGGGATCAGAGGAAGACCCGCCGGGTTGGTGTAAGTCATTGATTATCCCTGTATATAAGAAGGGAGACAAGTCCTCTTGTGCTAATCACAGGGGATTAGCTTGACTAATATGGTAGGTATCTTAAGTTCCAGGCTCAATAATCATGCGTAGACCAAGCGGTGCTCAGGGGGAAGAAACACGAGAGAACCAGGCAGGCTTTAGACTTAGAAGAGAGCATATTGATCAGATCTTCACCCTTAGACAGATTCTGGAACAGAACATAGGCATACTTACCGACGTCCAACAATCGTTACATTTCTTGACCTCAAGTGGTGACAACTAGCGGTGTCCGTCAGGGATACCCAATATCTCCATTTCTATTCGATTTCATCAGAGATGTACTAATGGACTTAACCCTAACTTACTTCAACGACTCAGGGATTGACTTGTTACCATCAGGGAATAGTCTCGTAGACTTAGAATATGCAGATGATATAGTCCTTTTAGGTGAAGACGCTGACAAATTGTAGAGTCTTCTGAACACCTCCAGCTGCAGTCTGCGAATATTTGGCATGCGATTCGCTCGTGCTGTCAAATGTAAGATGATGCTACAGGAATGACTGGACTACACTGACTACCAGGTTAGAAATAGGAAGTGTAGTGGTTTGTGGAGTGCGTTGACCACTTCACTTATTTGGGAAGTTACATCAGCCAGCGTCAACGGGCTGATCGCTGACGAAATCTCAGCACAGATACAGAAGGCTGGTTTTGCATAGGCTAGTTTACGCCGTCTCTGGCTTAGTAGACATCATATTCGGCTACCTGTCGACCAAACGACGTGTGTACTGCTCAGCAGCAGTGACTCATGGCCATTGAAAGTGGAATACATGAAAAGGCTGGCTAGCTGTCTTTGATCATAGGTGCCTGCGTTCTATTTCCCGTGTTAAGTGGTATAATAGGGTGAGCAATACTGAGGTTAGGCATCGCTCAAGTGCTAGGTAAGGAGGTGAAATCAATCGATGAGGCTGTGGAGCTACATAGACTGAGATGGTTGGGACATGTGTCGCGCGTGCCTCCTAGCCATCGCCTTCCTCGACGGGCAATGTTAGCTGACATAGGGTCAGGTTGGAAGAGAGCCAGTGGTGATCAAACCAAAACATGACCTCATCAGTCAATGAAATCCGCAACAGTTAGTTTAAGCCAGTCACGTAGGAAGGTGTAGACTTCCTGAGTGGTTGGGGTCCTCGAGACGATAAACACCCGTGGCTGGAGACAATAGATGATATTGCTCAAAATCGTTCTCAATGTCTGGCGCAGATGCATCCACTCTTTGTGACTTATAATTTCCGATAAAACTATATTGTTCTTCGATATTACCATTCCTTTTGTCTCATATCCCTGTCTACTGTCTCTATTTTGCATTTCTTCTACTTTCTTCTCTTGCTTTGTGTGCTACATGGATTCAACTGATGCACACATCGGTGCAAAGTTCTATGTTGAAAACAGACAGACAACACTCGCAGGAAATGGCTTGAACAAAACAATAAGCTGATTTTCATTCAGACTTTGTTTGCTTATAGAATCCATACGCGTTTCAAGTCAATAATCGGTGCAGTTTTGGTGTTGGCAAGTCAGGTATTTAACCGGAGTCAGACATTTTCGTACGATTCAATATTCAATGTTCAGTGGTAATGATACAATAGTTGCCTTGAATTTTCACACTGTGTGTGAGCAATAATTTTCTCCGAATTAATATCGGATAGATTTAACCTTCAAAAACTGCGCTAACATATATTTCCTTGTACTTTGGTATAATCCCACCTTAAAGTTACATATTAATTTTATCTTATCTATTTATTTTCATACGACTAATTGCGATAACACACAAGGAAGGCACTAAAATGAAAAACTTCTGAATCCAGTGTTTTTAAACGTTTGTAATACATGCAAAGCTTATACTGGAAAGGTAGTTGTTTAGCCACACAACTAGGTATTCATCTAGTTACCTAAGGGATGCAGCAAGAAAGATTCCAGAAGACATGTACAACAGCACTTTAGAGAGCAACCACGTAAATTTCACAAAAAAAAAAATGCGTATCTAGTGACCAAATTCTAGTTGAAGCAAAGACAAAGGCTTGTATATTTGCGTAGCATAGCAACGTACCATGCATATATCGTCTACCATAATATGAATACATGAATCACTGTTTCTGAAGAGATCACATATCATCCGAAAAAAGAACTAAGTTATACAGCTCTGTAGAAATTCATGAACTCATATATAATTAAATTTTAAAATATATGCATATAACTCACATCCAAAAAGACGTTTCCTAAATTCAGGAATTCGAAATAACGCAGAAAGTATGCATTGTGCATTACGATAACAACAAGCGAAATTTTTCTCCCATGGTTCTGAAGCGAAGTGATCACAATCAACACTGATCAAATTCCACCGACTGTTAATCCAACCGTTGTGAATTAATTGCTTTAGAGCGTGAATAATACCTAAAAAGAAAAAAGAAAAAAAGTTAACATGAGGTCAATTAATTATTTCATCAAAGGCAAATTTTCTTTGGATGTTGCTTTTTAGGATAACGTTTTCTGTCAAAATAACTTAAACCAAGAAATCTATTTGAGAAGAAGAGGTTTTGATACAAGTGATACTGTTTATCACAATATATACTTTTTTAAACATATTCTTAGGTACATGTTTATTTAATCATTTTACGGTAGACACAGTTGTGGAAGCTCTTAATAAGCTAAAACCTAAAGTTAATAAAAGCCATTGGATCTCTACCGCCTCATCCAAACTGATTGACGCAAGAAGACTGATTCCAGCGAGCTCCGATTATAATGAGGAGCGAAAGGTAATTAAACGAAAACTAACAAAAAGTCTTCGCAACAACCGTGAACAGTGGTGGGCGACAAAAGCGAAAGAGATGGAAAAGGCATCGGCGATTGGCAACACCAGACAACTATTTTTACTAACTTATCAGTGAAACAGGTGGTAAAAGGCAAGAGGTAAGTGAAACAATCTCTGAGAAAAATGGGACCATAATTAGCTCTCAGGATAGACGACTGGGACATTGGAAAGAATACTTTGTGGAGCAGTTTGATTGGCCTACAGCCACACTTAACCTGCCGAACATCCAACACCTCCCTGAATGGGATATAGACACAGGTCCTCCGTCCCTAACTGAGGTCACTAAAGATGTCACTAATCTGAAGCATGGCAAAGCAGCGGGACCTGATGGAATGACTCCAGAGGTATTTAGGTACGGTGGAGACAGTTTACTGTCTGCATTAACTGAGGTTCTAGGTAGTGTCTGGGAATCAGAGGAAATCCCATCGGGTTGGTGTAAGTCACTGATCATCCTGATATACAAGAACGGAGACAAGTCTTCTTGTGATAATCACAGAGGGATTAGCTTGACTAATATAGTATCTAAAGTCCTAGGCTCAATAATATTGCGTAGACTAAGTGGTGCTCGGGAGGCACAAACACGAGAAAACCAGGCAGGTTTTAGGCCAGGAAGAGGGTGTATTGATCATATCTTCACCCTCCGACAGATTCTAGAACATAGGCATTCCTACCGGCTTCCAAAAATCATTATATTTCTTGACCTAAAGGCGGCATTCGATTCTGTCGACCGGGAGGTTCTCTGGCGACGCTTGGCTGTAAAGGGAATGCCGAGAAAATACATTGCACTGATTAAGGCACTCTACTCGTACTCATGCAGCCAGGTGAGGGCTTATGGCGAGTTGTCATCTGAAGTGGTGACGACTAGTGGCGTCCGTCAAGGATGCCCATTATCCCCATTCCTATTCAACTTCATCATAGACGTACTAATGGACTTAACCCTAACACACTTCAGCGACTCGGGGATTGACTTGCTACCAGGGAATAATCTCGTTGACTTAGAATATGCGGACGATATAGTCCTTCTAGGCGAGGACGCTATTACTATACCTTTGTCTCACACCTCTGTTTACTGTCTCTAATATGCACTTCTCCTACTTTCTTCTCTTGCTTTGTGTGCTACATGGTGTGGTGACTTGAACTGCCGCACATATGTGCAAAGTTCTATATCGAAAACAGACAGACAACCATTTTACGGTAAGTTTATATCGTCAATACCAAAACCAAGCAAGCAGATTTTATTAACTCTTACCGGATTTCCCTTAGAATAGTGCTTTGATTTAGACAGATCTAACTTCCTTGATAAAGACGTAAACTTGCTGCACACTTTTTCGCAAACTAACATGATTTAGCAGTACTTAGTTTCTTTTTCACAAGCTATTTGATGAGACATCATCCCTTTGTACAATAAAGGATTTATGTTGTTCTGCTAATCGTCTAGTACAAACATTTCAGGGTAGAAAAATACAATATACCACAAAACTAGTTGATTAAACTTATTTTTTGGAGGATTTCATCATGAGCTGACATCAATTAGAAAGCCATTGGAAAAGCTGAACAACTGTCCCATCCTAGTTTGGGACTCTTTAGCAGTACACAACCACCGGAGTTGGAAACCAGGAACTTCCGGTAACAAGGTGAGCTGGTTGCGCCACACTGTGAATTGGCAAAAGTTGGAATTCATGGGCCATTGGATCGGATCCAGTGGCTTGATAGTCTACGATGTCGCCTGATGACTGCTAGGTCCTGGGTTCGAGTGGAACATCTCCACTTTCTTCTATTTGCTGCCGTCCTCTTCACCTGGGTCCACGTTTGACAATAATCTCTCATCTACTCTTCGCCACACGATCTCCTCCATGTCACCCTCGCACCGACGACCCATTCGTCGCTTCCCATTGGAATTCCATTTGAGCGACGGCCTACATTGCGCGCGATGACATTCGATGGCCTCCCCAACATATGCTCGATCCATCTGCATTTTTCCCTACATATTTGTTGGGTGATCGGCTCTTGGTTGGTTTGCTCCCAGCCAGCCAGAGTTTCTTGTTACTAATTCTTTCTGGCCAGTCATTTAATCTTCAGTACGGAGCCAGCGACGTCAGTTGTTGATAAAAGTCTGTAACTGGCTGTCAGAAATCCTTTCCGTGACACTCTAGGTAAGTCTCTGACTCATGAAGAATGGCTAACTGACTTAACATTTGTGTTGAACAGAATCTGAATCTTGTTCCTTGTGATGCTGAGGTGGAGTGCAGAAGACTTCCAAACTGGTTTCAGGTTGATGAAGGCGTATCTATTAACTAATCAAATGCCTGCAAACCAACACTTGAAGACTTATTTTTACTTGAAGTGGTAATTAGATACAGGAAATATTTTTTTTTAGTATGCAAAACATTCTTAATTAATGTGTTCAAAAAGCTAACCCTATTTATCTTAATCACCCAGCATAAAAATTAGCGGAACCGCAATGTCTGCAAAGCTAACTTGACAACATAAAACTAGCAACATTTGGACGTACGGTGAATTATTTATGAGTAAAACTAAGCGTGATTTGTTGGTAAACGCTCGCAAGTGTTCTGGCGTTTCTGTTGCTCCATCCGGATATCAAAACTGCGTTCAGTAATATTAATGCACAAAGAATATGAGCTCAATAAATGACAGTTAAGTTTGTTGCTGCGTGAACTATGTACACTCACCCATCTTGCTGTGCAATGTAATCAAATGCAGAACTAAGTCTTCCAAGAGTTAAATATCATTAGAAGAATCAGTGAATTGTATAAATATCCTGTTTAAATTCCAGTCAAAAACCACGGTTAAGAACTCAGAGAAGTATGCCTCACAGTCGATTTGACACACAGGTCATTATTCCTTGAGTTAAAATACGCAGTAACGTTTTCAATTTTCTTATTTCCATAAACATTGATGTTGTTCATATTTTTGTCTTCCTTTAAGTTGGCTTTTTAGACGATAGAGGCTCTGGTGGACTTGGCTAGTAAGGAATTACATTAGCTAATATCTGTACATCTATGAATCGATAAAAGCTTGTAGAGGCTGAATGATTTAAAATGATCAGTAAAGTGATTATAAAAGTTTAGCTATCAACTTTTTATGCGATGAAACCTTAGATTCATTAATTCCCATTCCAAAAAACCAGTTAGTAATTTATTTCTCTGAAAAATACATTCTTGCAAGATTTTGCCCGAAGATATTCCCATTTATGGTCTACAAAAAATATGTTAGAGAGCAGGAAAATAAGCAGTCCAGCAAAGATACCTTTTGGGAGGTTTCATCTACAAAAGCTGTTCAATAGCATTTTCAATGCATAAGTTCGCATAGTTGAAATTATTATTTAATTCGACATAATAACGATGAGGGGTTAAAGATGACAGTTGTCAGCTGCAGAAGCCCTCATCATATGCATCAAGAAGCTGAAGGAATGTGTTCAGAAGACATTAGTTCAACCTTTACACTTCCCATCTACAGTTAAAACACTATTTCAATTTGTTTCAATGCACCTCCCGTTCACACTCCTCTTCGTTAGAAATTATTTTACATAATATGCAAATAATTTTATTACCATTGTTTCCTTTAGTTCCTAGTGGAACAAATGGTTAAAAACCGTACGTCTACATTGCGCCCGGTTCTCCGTCAACGTTTTCACCTGGCTCCACGTCTGTCCACATACTTTCATCTCCTCTTAGCATTACCTCCTCCATGTCACCCTATCACTGACTACCAAATCGCCGCTTCCCATTCGGGTTCCACTCGAGCGATGGCCTGCCATGTGATGTCACTCACTTGATGGTTGGTTTTCTCAGAGTATGGCCACAATCCAATCCACCTCCATTTCTTTCTGCATATATGTTGCACAATCGCTCCCTGCTGAGTTGGTTCGCTCATTGCCACAGATCACACTCTGTTGCTGGTCTTTTCTCGGCGGCCATCTGATCTTGAGTAGTATTGAGCAAAGACACCTGTTGATGAAGGTCTGTAGTTTGTTCGAAGTGCCCTTCGTGACACGGCGCCAACTCTCTGATCCGTATAGTGAGTAGCACTGACTTCATATTGGAGTTGAAAATCCGGATCTTATTTTTCATACTGAGCGCTGTTGACTATCACACAAACTTGAGAGTAATGAAAGCTAGCCTTGCTTTCCCGATGTTCCTCGCTTTGATATCCTCATCAGTTTCGCCCGCCTGTAGTTGAAGCAATACTTACCAGGTAGGTAAAGGAGGCTGCTTCTTTCAGATTTCTCCCATTCACACTGATTGTTGTCCGTTGTTGGTGGTGTTGCTGTTGGTCACGAATCTTCATCACCTACGTCTGTGTTGTCTATGTTCACCTGAAGTCCCTCCTACCTTTGATGCTTGTTCTGCCAACTTGTTTCTTTTCACTTGCATATCTTCCAGTTTATGGGAAATCAGGCATATATCATCGGCGAAGTCCAGATCCTCCGAGTTCTTTTATGTGTGGGTCCACTTTATGCCTGTCTCCACGTTGCCCCTAATTTTATAATTCTACATTATTTTATTCCTATACCCCCCTTGTGAGCTAATTGATACCAATTTGAAAATTGTCATCTCCTTTAACCTACGGTGAGTCGGTGGTTCAACGGTAGAGTGCTGGCCGACGCACACATTTACCTCCCTCAGCCGGTTATCATACCGACAAAGAGAGGAGGTTGGTCATGAGACTGACTAGCAATCCCACCCCGTAACAAAGAACATCCCTGCTACTGAAACTTCAAAGCTAAAGTCTTTAAGCCCTATGTTCCACTTGCAACGCAGAGGAATGAAAAGTTCTATGCGAAAATAAGTGTAAAACAGAGATTGTACAGATTTTAAGGATTAAAATCGTCAAAAAGACATCGTTATTGAAACTCCTACTTTTTTCCCCAAAAAAAAATATTAACCAAGAATGACAAAAGCTATTGGGGTGCTCACAATACTTGCAATCCACACTTTCCTGTGCTCCATAAATCAATAACTTAATGAATTATTAACCAAACTAGTATATTCGTAAACATTATCGTAAACAATGATCTAAATACCAAGAGATCATCATACTTAGTAGTGAAACAAATTTAACAAAAAATTAGCTTTGTCTTACACCCATACATCATATACTCACTATTCACGGCCAGTTTTCTACGTAAAAGAGAAACAAATTAAGATACCAAAAACCTCGAAAAAATGATTAAAAATTGTGGAATCAAAATATAGCAGAAGAAATAAGTTATACTGTTTAAACAATCACAGTCCTAAGGATGAAAATTCAAGAAACCTATGAGCATTGCCATTATATGTATCGGTAATCTTTTGGCGGTGAATTTGAAAAAAGAGTCGGTGGGGTTTTTAACGCACTACATAAAATATGCACAAATAGTGGTTAACTACGATCAATACAGCTTTACAAATCACAAAATTGGACATCTTTCAAAGGCAAAATAACAATGTTTGAAAAAAAGTGGTACAGGTAGCCGAAAAATTATAAACAATAATATATATGCATTCATTTACTGAACTGTAGAAACTCACCGTCTGTACATGTTGCTGCTGAATCAAAACCTTGACGGACTGAACGTCGGAGTTCTCGAACACGTCGTTGATAGTCTGTCAAAGACAGATTGTTCAACTCGAAACTCCTTTCAAGCCATCGAGCTGCTATAGCCTGAGCAGAACAGCTGGATGATCCAGACATCACACGCTGAAACAGTACGATAAATAAATAAATAAAACAAAACTACTCCTACCGTTTATTTATGCTAAATATCAAAATGGTAGTAATTCAGGTAAGTATAACCTGTATTCTGCTAATTTTCGTGGGTATTTAAGTCCCTATCTCCATCTAGACAGTTATGCAACCTTAACATATGAAAAATGAGCATCCCCTGTATCAACACAACCAAAATAATGATTTGTACATAGAATGGTGGGAAGTAAGAATAAGCGAAAGTAAGAACACTAAATTCGCTTAGAAATGTGGTCTATTGTAGTTACAGGCAGAGTATACAAATATCGATTGTCTAAGGGAAAAACAAGCCGATGTTCACAACTGAGATGCACAGAATTATCAATTTCGTGATAAAGCAGCTTACGTTTTAGGCGAAATAAATACTACTGAAAAATTAATCTTCGGTGAACCTGCCAACAATATGATTTTCGGATAGTGCTAAAGAATGGCTAAGAAAGGAGTGTGTATTAATTCATATGGTCAGTGTAGTGCAGCAGGAATTTAGCACAGTCATACCACTACATCACCACAAGATTTAGAACAGCAACCACACGAATATTTCAGCCTGAATGAATCCACTGACTGACTGGAGTGTGGCGACTTGAACTGCCGCACATATGTGCAAAGTTCTATGTGGAAAACCGACCGACCACTGACTGACTGACTGGCCTATCGGAACAGAACTTCATAAAAGCACAGAGACAGAGAGACTAAAGAAATTTAATGAAAAAGCAATGGACACAGATTTATAAGACATGATAATTTATATGAAAATTACCGAGGGTTTTTAGAAGTGCTGTACAATGCACACGTCCTTCGACCGATAACCAGATATAACACCTGCTCTAAAGACGAAGTAAATTACCGAACGAAAAAAGAACCCTCCAGCCAGCAATCAGTTCATTACGGCTGGTGTCGATGATCAATACATTCAACTATTTTACCCTCATCCTTAAACTACGAGTCAGTGTAAACTAGTGCTGTAGAACTATCGGATATTTGACAGGGGTGAATACCGGAACATACTACTACTATTGCTTAAGGTGTCCAGTAGACTAAGCGTTTTTTCAGTCTTCAACTAAGAGGAATATACCATCTGCATGCTTTAAATCAATAAGACTAAATCTCTGAAACATAGACAGTCAGGGCCATCTCCATCAGTATAACAATCATGAAATTGAATAGGATTTGTGACATTGGACATCCCTCGAGGAAAACACTGATCATGATCCCCTCAGAGACCAACTTATCATAAGCACTCACACAGCTACATGAGTTCGAACAGACTATTCAGGAATTTTGATAGCATAAAGGAACACGTGCTACAACAGGGACACTTCTTAGTCTGACACAAGGTCAAAAGACTGATTTGGGGTGAATGTCTCTTTTCTATTTCCGACTGTCAAAATAAAAAAGACAAAAAGTGTACCTATTTAAGTATACAATAGTCTTCTTTTTTTACTTAGTATTGATAGTGAAACCAATAATGGTGATTGAAAATTTACGACAAGAAATAAAAAGATGGATAACACCAAACGGTTTTCATCTTTATTCTGAGATAAATATCTTCTCTATTATAACAGAGCTTTCACCACTTGGTTGTTTCACATAACGGAGTTATTATTCGAGTAACTATTGTACAACACTAATTTCCAGTCTAAACGTTCCGAAAAATTCTTACTACATGCGAAATTTAAATTCTAATTTGCGAGGGGAAGATGTGTTTCTAGAAATATCACAGAACTAATCTTGATGCTTGAGGTCCCTCATACTGGGATATCTGTTTAGCCCGCTTTAATTCTTTGAGAATAAAAGCTCGAACTACATAAGAGGAAGTCACTGATTGTACGCACAGCCTTAAAGACTACCTGAAGTGCATTTAGCGCTTACAACAGATAGAGAGCTGCATGAAAATGCAGCATATAAGAACTGGTTAGTTTACCATGATAACTCATTATTAAATTCTTGAAAGCAACACATCGTACCATAGATCTTACGTAGAGTTAGATAGGCTTAAAGTGAACCATTAAATATAGAGATCTTGATATCAACTGTATTATTATTATTAACACTTGCGTTCCAGGTGGAACACATCTCCACTTTGTTCTGTTTTCTGCCGTCTTCTTCACCTGGGTCCACGATTGACCAAACTCTCATCTCTTCCTCACACGAAACCCTCCATGTCACCCTAGGACGACCAACTCGTCGCTCCCCAAAGGGATTCCACTCGAGGGCTTGGCGTGCGATTTCATTCGACGACCTCCTCAATGTATGCTCGATCCATCTCCACTTTCTCCTACATATTTGTTGAGCGATTGGTTCTTGGTTGGTTTGTTCCCATAGTTTCTCGCTGCTTATTCTTTCTGGCCACTGGATCTTCAGTATGGAGTGAAGGCAGCTGTTGATGAAAGTCTGTAGCCTGCTGGAAAACCTTTTCGTGACACACAGTGCAAGTTTCTGACCGTATAGAAGAACTGACCGACTTCGCATTGGTATTGAAAATGGGAATCTTGATCATTATGCTGAGTGCGGAAGATTTCCAAACTGGTTTCAGGTTGATGAAGGCATGCGTATCTTGCCTTTTCGATTCTGACTTTAACATCGTCCGTTCCGAATTCCTGTAGTTGAAACGATGCTTCCAAATAAGGGAAGCAGGCAACCTCCGTTAAATCTCTCCCGTTGAAGGTGATTGGTGCTGGTTGTTTTTGTTGTTGCTGTTGGTTGGTTATTTTCATCACCTCCGTCTTTGTGTTCAACTGCAGTCCTGTTTTCGATGCCTCTTCAGACATTTTGTTGGTGTTCGCTTGCAATTCTTCGAGTTTGTGACATTAGAAATATATTATCTGCGAAATCCAAATCTTCCAGGGTCTTCTTATCAGTCGTCCAGCGTATTACTGACTCCTCGCCCCGACACTCTGATGCATAATCTATTCCACCACAATTAAGAATATCATTGGTGATAATAGGCAGCCTTGTCTTACTCCTGTATGCACTTCGAACGCCTCGCTGAGTTTTCCGTTGTGGATCACTGATATAAACAGATATATTTCACATATAGAAGGGAATGTTACAAACACTTGGTATTCATTTTAATTTGTGCTATATTTAAAGAATATAATATTTTATCATTCCCCTATACCAGATTTCCACACTAATATATGTGTAAAACTTGGGCATTGTGGTAGCAAGTAATTCCTTATTAGCTTGTTTATTAGATTTATCACACAGTGAAAAAACAGCATTATTTACCGGAAGAAAATGTTTCGAACAAAATTTATTATTCATAATCATACCATCAATTATAATCACACGACTTCAAAACTTGAATTTCATAGTTTTCTTTGTTCTCTCCTATTTGTCGTCGTTGGGCTAGTAGAATTTTCCAGATATCTGGGACAGATGTTGAATCACTCCTATTACACGTATTCTGCCTCACTTGATTCGATAAACAAAGCTTCTGTTATCAATCTCTCCCTCCACCCTGTTACATTAGATATGATATGATTATGAACCGAAATAAATTTTGTTCGAAACGTCATCCAGTAAATAATGCTGTTTCACTGTGTGATACATCTAATAAACAAACTAATATGGAAATTTGACCCTAAAATTAGACATTCTAGCCATCATTTGAAATAGCTCCCACGCAAGTGACGTTATCATTTTCCTCGAACAGCTGATATGTAACTGCATTAGAAAAACCATTGCACCCATCCATGAAGACGTTGATTGTTGGCTTGAGTCAATAAGGAAGTGTTTATCTGATGTTTTCGTGATGTTGAGAATAAATAGTTGAAGAATTTTGTTGGCGTAGAGTACAAGCATCCACTCATCTGTGCCTTCAGCGTTTGGAAAGTCTTCATTTATCGCTAAGTAGTCATTCTTTCTTCTGCATTTTTCATTTACTGAATTTTCAATACATTTTTCTCTACCTGTCCTATTCTGCAATATGGTTTATCCAATTATTACACGTTGTGCAAATGAATACGTTGATAAGCCATGCAGCAATTTACCCTGATGCATTATTTGCACATGATAACAACAAAAACGCAGCAGCTAACAGCATTCAGACGTATTACAAATGATAAAAGAGAAGACGATTCATATGATTAAGGGACTCCAAAAACAATCTACAGACTCATATATGTCGAAATCAGAGCGCTCTAAAAGACTACTATGAGATCTCATGCTACTTCGTAAAAATGTACAGCCGAATTAAAGTGACAAAATGCGAAATTCAAAACTTGCATATAGGGTAGGAGTTTCGTTAAGGTGCATCGATCCATAGTCCAATTCTTCTGCCTCATCCCTACGGGTAACTAAAATAGAAAATAATTATCAGGACGCATGACAGGAGTCAGGATTTGACCGTACCTGCCCAGGAGCTCATCCGGACCTATCAGCTGATACTTGCAGTGTGCGCCTACAATTCAAGGTTTCAGTATGTGGCTACTTTTACCATTCTAATACTTAGTTTCTAGGAGCCAACCGAAAGTTCATCTAAGGCAGATTGGCAAATTCAGTCGATTTTAGACATAAGTTTTCATAACTGACTTAAAAATTTGGAGAGGGCTGAAGGGTGACAATGCAAGACGTCAACAAATTGCGAGAGTGACCCAAAGAATGGATTCGCCCAATAAATTTAGCAAAATGTGCAACCATGTGCATCGGACACGCAAGCATCATCCCTCACAAACTAGAGGAGATAATACTTCCATCAGATCAGACTCATTTGGATTTAGATGTCATAGTGTCACGATTCAAAACTACAGCACACTGTTGCGCAGTAGCTGCACATTGTTTCAAATCCTTATGTATGACTTGCACAGCCCAGAGATATTTTCACTTCTACATATGCTGGAAAAGTATCCAGGCAGCTCATAGAACACAAGCACATCAAAATCATCCACCTGAGCCAAACATCTCCATCATATCTAGCCAGTTCTTGTCTTAAAGGGAACTCACAT